AAGCTCACATAATCTACTATTGTATACATTTGCCAGTTATAATGTAAAATTCTTAAAGAGTTAAGAAAAGGAAGTGTTGACTTTCCAGATGACTCCAATTATGGTCTCAATGATATTTCCTTCCAAAATTCATATGTTTAAGCCTTTATTCCCACCATCTGGAATGTGACTACATCAGGAGATAAACTCTTTAGAAGAATGATTAAGTTAAAATTTGGTCTTTAGGATGAGTCTTTAATCTGTCTGGTCTCCTTATAAGAAGAGGAAATTCAAACCATGAGAGAGACGCCAGGGTTGTGTGACACAGAGTAGGACCATGTGAGGACACCAAGAGGTGTCTCCTGTCTACAGGCCAAAGACAGAAGCCTCTGGAGAAACCAACCTGCCAACAACTTGCTCTTGGGCTTCTAGCCTCCAGAACTGCAAGAAAGCAAATTTTTGTTGTCTAAGCTACCCAGTCTGTGGAATTTTGTCGTGGCAGCCCTAGCAATCAAACACAACTACTGATCAGAGAAACATATAAATTGAATGTTTTAAAAAGAGATAAACACATTGAATAGTGAATTTAAAAAGAGTGATAATCACATCTAAGATGTCTGGAGTTCTGTAAATTTGAAAGAAAATGGAAACTACATGGCAATTTTAATATTTACCTAAGGAACAAAATTCGTGAATGGAAAAGGATGCCTACTAACAATAGGGAGGGAGAATATTTGGAGAGGACATTTAGAGATGTTGGTAGATTATCTTCAGTGGGACATTGGAGCAAAGTTGCTTGTTAGACCAAATGAAACAATGGGATGTTATGAAAGCATGCATCAGGACATGTCCAGCAGGACACTGACCTCTGAAAGTGAAATGAGCTCCTACCTTTACCCTTGCAAACCTACATGCAGTCAAAAGTCGCTCAGTCAGGTGCCCCACGGGACCATATGCAAGAGCCATCCTTGCTGTAGTTCCTGTTAGATACTCAACTCCATTCTCCCTTATCTTTCATACACACTTCTGGACACTTTGCACACTTCTTGTTCTGGCTTCTGATTTCACCTTATTCCAGGACTCACACACATACTCTAATAGAAGATTTCAGACAACTCTATGACACTAATCTTTAGTGGTTTAATGATGCACAGAGGAGATGCTAAGTTATCACATTCCTTCCAAGACCCCATTGAAATGGGAATTTCTGTGCAAAATTTCTAAAGGACTGAATCCATGACAGCAAAGAGAATGGAGGAGGCAGCCAAATGCGGATGGTATATTTCAATATCCTTTTGGAATTAAAATGGAAATAAGATGGGTATGTGTTACCCTATGAATCAGTACAAAGTTACAGTTCCATATTTGCTAAGGGATGGGTACAGAAAAGGAGTCAGTCTCTTATTGCAAACCAGGAAAACGTAGTATTTGTATACTCATGATAAACTAATATGAAGGCTGCTATGCCATGATAGCAAATGCCACACATTTCATTGGCTAACTACTGAAAATGTAATTTTCATTCAATGCTATCTCCCTCTATACCAGTTGGAAGGGCAGTTCTGTCCCCATCTAGTTCCCCAGAGACCTGCACTGACAAGTGGAAGATCCTCAGTCACCTGGAATTGCAGCATGCAGACTCTTACCCTCCTCACGACAGTGGAATAGCAAAGAGGGTTGCATCTCGGCAATGAGACCCTTTAGCATGGAAATGATTCCTGTCACCTCTATTTACTCCACAGCAGCATGAGCTTGTGTGAGGCTTCTCTGCTTTCTTTCAAGGACATGGTCAAGTTTAATTTTCAGTGTGTCCAGGAAGAGAGGAAAATGGCACAGCGAACACAGGATCTCTCATCACAGCAATGATTTAGATGGGTTCAGTGTTGTGGTTTGTGTTTGCAGTCTCTACAAACTACTAGGATACTATGAGTGAAAAAGTATTAATGTTAACCCTTTTATATATGTCTCTAGATATTTTTCTAAAATTTTATTATGAAATCATTTTTTAATTTATAAAATTATTTTAAGTTTGAAAGAATTTTATAGTGAGTATCTTTATGCCAAGTCCCCTAAAGTCTATCATTAACATTTTGCTATTTTTACTTCATTACCTGTTTCTTCCAAATACATTATTGTCTAAAAAATTCTTTAATGTGTCTTTGCTTAAGAACCTCAAATAATAAAATCAATGATACCAAAGATGATAATCTTATTTAATGAACACCTGTTATATTCTAAGCATCTTAAAGACACTATTTCTTGTTCTCAGAGAAATAAGTGTGCATTTTCTCTGCCTGCTATAAAGAACCATTGATCAAAATGCAATGAGTGATGTGCTAAGCTTCCCTTAGCAGATATACGATTCAAACTCATATCTGCATCTCTATCCTCAGTGCTTTTACCACTGTATCTCGTCATCCTTTGATTTCAATACATCAGAACTACCAAGTCATCCAAATCACTTTCTGTCTTATTCCTCCAACCTATATAATAACAGTGCATGTGATCTAAATTTGTAAAGGTAACTAATCTTGTCTAGAAAATGTTCACTTCATCTTCTATCCATTTCCCTGAAGGCAATATGCCAATTTCTGGATAGCATTCTCAGCCTTTATTCTTACTAACCAACAGCTTTGTAATGTCACTCTTAATGCAAGCAGGAGACCAGTGAGTGGAATACATGGCACAGCTCTTGTCCTGTTGGAAACAAACCCTGGCACCATAACATACGTTATGGATAGTTTTTCAGATGGGTTTTGCAAAAGTCATTCCTGCTAGTCATTTTAGTGTTCTGATCTTTTTCCAGGACACTTTTAGCTTGTCTTCATAAACCTTTAAGAACTCAGGCAATAAGTCTCTTTTCACACGTGAATTTTGTTTACTCAGTTGAATGTCACAAAGTAAGTGGTATTTTTCAAAGATAGAACAATAAATTCAAACTTCAAAATAATAGTGCTGTGATCTTGCAAATTATCTTGTATATTTGCTTTAACATTTTTAAATTCTACAATGTGCTTATTATTTTCCTTCTTTTCCTGGTGCAGAAATATTCTGAGCAAGAAATTCCTGAGCTCTCTCTCATGTGAATAAAGAACAAAATTTTTCTACAGGTTTTGGTAAACATTTATCAATGTTTGCTAAATTGTATATTGTCTTTTATACCAGTCATGCTTCACATATTATAGACATGATCATTCTAAAGGGCACAGTAACTTTTTTAACCTGGGTATGTTAATAGCCAATTGCTACAGGTATATATGTATTATCTAGACTACTCTTTTAAAAAAAGATTTTATTTTATTTTATTTTTTTTATACAAGCACTGGGTACAGTCAGAAGTGCAGGAGGGTGAGAGAATTCACCAGAGACAGAGCAGGGAGCAGAACAAGCCTAAGAACCGAAGTTCACTGCTGAGGGGAGCAGTGGGCACAGCAGGAGAGGTCTGTCGCACCATGCAGGACCCTCGCCGGCAGCCAGGGATGGAACCGGCGCTGCGGAGGCTGCAGGCAGCTTCACAGCTCAGAGCTCAACCACAGCGCCACTAGGGAGGCCCAAAAAATATTTTATTTTTATGCATATAAGAACGGGGGTCTAGGCCAGAGGTGCGGGGGGAAGGTGGTGAGAGGATTCTCCAGAGACAGAGTGAGGAGCAGAACAGGCAGATTTACTGAAATATGCTGCTGAGAGGAGCAGCAGGTGAGACAGGAGAGGTCTGCTACACCATGTGGGTTAGCTCCCTGGAGGGGGTGGATCAAACTCATGATGCAGTGGCTGGCAATAGCTTCATTGTGCTGAGACTTTAACCCCTGTGCCACCAGGGAGGCCTTAAAATACTCTTGTCATTTTTCCACTATAATGGTATATTTATCATGAGAATTATTATCATGTAGTGGTTGAAAGCAGAAACTCTGAAGGCAGGCTACCTGAATTTGAATCCAGGTTGCTATTCAGCAACGACAGGCCCTTGACCAAGGTAAAAATATTTTTAGTGTTCAAAATTTTTACCATTTTGCCCTGGCCCTTTACCCCAGGGTGCTAAAATGAACTGGAGGGAATTCTTAGAGTCGAGAAGGTCTGCAAGCAACATTCATAATTTAGCTTTCAGATCAGGAATGCTTTATGTATCCTTTCTCTTGAATCATCTATCGCTCTGTTTAAAGAGCTCCAGTGGGTAATTCTACCTAAAGTTAAGCTGTCTCCATTGCTGGAAGACTCTGAACAACTATTTGAACATTCTCCTTTAGCTAGAATAAAAATAGTGCTCTTATTAAATATCACCCTTATGTACCCTTCATTTTTCAGCTTCCTAGAATATGTTGTCACCCTGTTCAAATGGCAAGTTTTAAAATATTTATTATGTTTCTCCCAATATATTATTTTCCTTCAGCATTTAGATATCTGATTACCTGTGTTTTATGACAATTTTTATGACATTATTTTCATGAATTTCTTTATGAGATTTTGAAGTTTTTGTAAGAAGTTACTTTTTTTCAATACAACCAATTAATTTGATTTCTTGCTTCTGGCCAACATTTTTTTTAGAACTATGCTCAAATATATGTTATTTATCACTTCTCTCCCACCCCCAAATAAATTTTGGTGTTAATTTTAAGTAGGCAATTATGTACATTATATGCTCTTGTTGGGAATTCTCATCATATTAAGTTTCTCAGAAGCCTTGAACTTGGACTTGAATATTGGAGTTTTATCTAGTGTGTCACAAAAGGCATTTAAGCCTATTTTTCCGAGGAAATATGTATATCAAATATATCAAATTTTATATTTTTTCAGAATATCATTGGAAAATATTTTTAAAAGGCATGTATTATTATCTGAGGGATATTATCCAGATGTCTTACAAAATCAGAAGTCTAAAGAAAATTTTGTTAATTAAATTGTATTTTTTTAACTCAAAATACAGATGTGTTTTTTCAAGTGATGAAAATATAATCTTTTATGTTTACTGGCTGAAAAGGAAAAACAAGGTAGGGAAAACATTTGCATATATTCATGCTATACAAATGGAGATCCTTGTTACCATAACGTTTTTTATTAAAATATATTATTAATAAAACTTATGAGCAATTCCCCTGAAATAAATATTGTGCTTCTGTTTTGTTAGAAATCATTCACTCCTTTTATTGAAAAATGTCCCCAAATTCTGGCAAATATAAAAACTGAACAATTTGCAATGTAAGTGGACTTCAAGTGTTAAAACACTAAGATGGTGTCAGGAATGTATTATAATAAATGTAAAATTTGGGTCTTGTTTAATTGATAGAGAATATTGCTCTATGTCTGAAACAACAGCTATAAAAATAGTAGTGGACTATAAATGGCTATTGCATTGTTATTTGGTATTAAATGACTAGAAATCTCTTACTATGTAGTATTTGATATATGTCATACTCAAGCAACACACCAAATTTGCACCTACAAAAATCATTTAACCATCTGCAATTCATTCTCTTAAGAGGTATGATTAAGAACAATCTCATTTTTCTATTTTCTTCAGATCTTCTTAGCTCATGCTACATTAGTAGTTATCCTGTAAATATATTATCTGCATAAGCAATTCTGAACATGAGCAAATATGTTCTTTCTGCTATACAACAATGCAACTGCATTATTTGGCATTACTAAACTGTGAAAGAGAAAAAAAATATCTTTGAGTTGAAAATCTTAACTCTGTGTCTGTTTTATTAAAGAAAAGCAGACTTTGCTATATATCATCAGCAAAGCATCTTTGAATGGGGAAAAATAAGCTGAACTAATGAAAACGAGAGCCAAGAACAGCTGGAAATGTGATTTTTTTCCTTAAATCTATGAATAATATTCAAATTTCTTGTTAGAAATATTCATTCAATAAACCTATTTGTGATTGCTGAAGTTATTTTTAAATAATGACAGCCTGAAGGAACCTAAAACAAGTCATTAAATCCATTGGGATTGGTGGCTTGATCTCATTTCCATCCAGACGGAGATAGCTAAGATGAGGTCCATAGTGGAAGGAATCTTGTTCTGCAGCCAGTGTGCCAGGGGTAGGGCATATTACTGAGACATTCACACCTGTGGAGGCAAAAGGAGCATGAATGAATGAATTGGAACACAAGAGTCTAAGGGTGGGAAGACCAAAAAACATAAGAAATGGTTCTATGAGAGGGTTAGTCTCCTGGACTGTGAAACTAGAAGAAATAAAACTATTTTTGCCCACCTTGGAGGTTGTGCAAATCTATTTTATAAAAGTTACCCTGAAAAAAAATCAGCAATTTATGTCTAGTCATCTCACTCCATATTCAATCATACTTAGAGCACTAGAAAGGACATATTGTTTAATGCTGTTATGAAAATAAAGGGGTATAAGTTATATCACTTTTCTTCTAGCTTGCAGGAAAGATAAGGCATGCATGGATTACTTAGGATGAGACAGGTAGTATTTAGGGCCATAGCTAGAGATATTTCATGACTGATAATGAATGAGTAGGTGTCTGGGTGGATGGATGGATAGATGGATGGATGGGTACAAAATCAGTCTATTATTAAAGCAAATGTTTGAAAATTATGGTGGGTGGGCTATGATGACTACAACTGAGAGGGGGATCCTACGCTTCTGAAATACAATCTATATGAATGTAAACTCAAGAAATATCTTAAAAAGGCAACATTTCAAATTAACAGTATATGATAACAAGATTTTGAAAAAGTACAACTAATATAACTTTAAATGTGTGATACTTGTAGAAAACAACCTTAAATTTCCACATTTAAAAGTGTTTAATTGGAAAGGAAACATTTGCCAAGGATTGAATTACAAAGAATGTAAGCCAGGAAATATCCCATCAGCCTTTTCGGATGGTTAAGATGTGAGAAATCGTGCACCTGCCTTGGATCAGAGCCTTTGGATCAGTGCCTATGCTGAGATTGAGGAGTATTCAGGAGAGAAGACTGCTAAACAAGCCAAATTTAGCAAAATGTGTGAAATAGCTGATCTTACCCTCAAAATGTATATATACTGCCTTTAAATCTCATTTTAAACTATATTTGTGCAAGAGATCTTCTTTCAGGAGATAAGCCCTGCCAACATGGGTTATGACCCTCCTTTGTATTATGTTGGTACATGGAGAGTCATAATCTATTGAACGTTTCATGCTTACAGCAAGGGTATTTTGCCAGTCTGATCTGATGTCATTTTGTGGATTCAATTTGCTAAAAGTAATGACATTTGTATAGCAGATTTATATTCATTGATCCTTTTTTTCTTTCCCACAAACACCATCACCCCTGACATCACAAAGCCTTTGTCAGGTAATAGTGTCCTCCCTACTTGGACACTGTGATAATGTTGGTCAGACAGGTAGGCTGGGTGCACAGGAAAGTGGCAGGGCTGAGTATCATTCTAACCCTTTTCTTACCACACCAGGTCTCTTCCCTACTAGAGAGAATGGATCTCTTTAGTCTTTAAGGTGTTCAAGCAGATAAATACGTATTTTCATAATTTTGAGTAAGAAAAGTTAACTGTCCTGTAAATTCTGAGAACTCTTCATATAAAAGCTATGTTTCTTGGAAACCACTCTTTAACAACTGGAGTAGATCATGTGGCCAGAAGAACTGAGCACTTTAACAGTTATAACACAGTATGATATAATGTTTGCCAATAATGCTAGCCAGGCAAATTTTTCTTTTGCGTTTGTTTTCTTGCAATATAGAAATGACTGTGCTTGATATCTCTATTAAGAGGAAAATGTATTGATTTCTCTTTGTTGATGTTGCTGCTGTTAAAATTATTTTTACCTCTATGAACTGGTATTTTTCTTAAGTATTGATTCTGAGCAATGAAGAAAAATGTGCTGAGATAGATGAGTGAGAGAAAGGAAAAAAAAATAAAAACCCTAAACTGGGAAGCCCTGGCTGGGCTCAGGTCCTGGCTAGTCTATTTGCCCTCAAGCCTTGAGCAAATGGCTTTACCTGTTTGAGCCTCAGTTTCTTTTTCTTCAGAAATTACTAATCATACACAGACGGTTCTTGCAAGGATTAGTTCTGGTTCTCCAGCAGCACCAATACCACCTAGTAACTAAATGTGTGGGTCCCGTGCCCCTCTGGAGCAACTGAGTCAGAAACTAAGGGTGGCATCCACAAGCCCACATTACAGAAGTTCCCAGAGGATTTTGATATACAGAAAGGTCTGAGAACAATTAAAAAATACAAATACATGAGAAAAACACTGAAAAACTCTCTGAAACGTGATTAGAGGAAGAAGGATCTAGTCTTTGTGTAACTGTATGTGATTATATAATAGCCCAGAGGATCTGCTCCATTGCCTGCTGAATTTTTCTACCTCCCCTCCAAAGCATCCTCATTCTCAAATTCTCAAAGGAAACCCTAATCCACAAATAGGGCTTTGTGTAAAGTCACTTTGAATGAACTTCACACATTAAATGTCTATGGGGAAGACATTTGTTGTTGTCAAATAAGGAAGGCACCTGTAGAAACAGAACTGTCATTAGGAAAACAATACACATATTTAGATCAATATTGACTGTTGTTCTATTTGGTTCTAAGAAACAGACTCAACAATTTCCAACTTTTTTCTCTGTTACATCTTTTGCTTTTGACTACAGGATTCAACAATGTGTCCCATCACCATGGAAAAAGAACTGCAGTGGCAGCAACTGGCTTGTTAGTTCCTGGATTTTGTACTCAAGTGTGCTGTTAGGAAAAAAAAAATCTTGAATAACTGAGTCGTATCCAGTGGAAAAATAGTCTATCCCTATAAATGGGATGTTTATGTGATTATTTGCTTAAAGGGAATTTTAGTGTACAATAACCAGGCAGCACAAGCTTCTGACTATTTTGTGGTATTTTCCTATAAACCATCTGACTTGTCCTCACTTTAGAAATGTATTTTACAAGGTTGTTGGGGAGAAGTCTCCTCAAAATTATCTTCTATTTTGTTTTTTGTTTTTTTATTAGGTTTTTTAAGTCTTATTTATACATACAAGAACTGGGATATAGGCCAGAGGTGTGTGTGTGGGGGGGGGGGGTGAAAGGATTCACCAGAGACAGAATGGGGAACAGAACAGGCAGACTGGCTGAAATACACTGCTGAGGGGAGCAGCGGGTGAGTCGAGAGGTCTGATCCATGTGGGTAGCTCCCGGGCCGGGGATCAAACTCATGCTGCAGAGGCTGTGGATAGCTTCACAGTGCTGTGCTTAACACCTTGCACCACCAGGGAAGCCCTATCTTCCTATTTTGAATCCTTGCCAGATGTGTACCACTGCCTCATGTGAGCAGACCAGGCCACTGCCCACTATGGAGATGCCAAGTTTGTCTTTCCAGGGCTCTAGTCTCTCCTCTCTGTAACCTTACTTCCCTTGATGATTTCTCATCTCTCTCTCCCTCTCAAAAGCTATTTGCAGAAAAGAAACAGGCAACCTTGATAATTACTGTTATTTCTGAGGAATTACCACATTCCAGCGGCATTTGTTCCCCTGAGCAAAGTCTTAACAGGATGTGTCCTCATCACATGGTCCCCGGGTTAGCAATCCCCCTGCCCCCTGAATACAATGTGCTCCAAAGCTGGAGAAATCCATGATCTAATATCAGAGCCTCTAACTAAGGTGGCACCTGTAGCAGCTGTGCCTCAGTTTCTAGGACCTAGGTGCCCCTCTGAAACCACCTTAATGACAATTCTATTACTATTTATGAGGTTGACTATGCCTGAAACACTTTCTTAAATAAATCTACCCAGAGAGACAGAGATACTAGTGTCTCTTCAAAGTAACAGAAGATAGAGACCTATAATTTCTCCAGTAGACAATGGCCTTCTGTTATTTTCCATTTTTTCAATCTGCAATTTGAAGGTTTGGAATTTTGAGTTCATTGAGACTGCCTGAAAATAGAAAAATTTGAAGATACACTGCAAAAAAACTAATCCTGTTAGTTGGGGGAAAATAACTCAAGTACTAATCTTAAAGAGAACATAGAATCAAGGTAATGATCATGAGTATATCATCAAAGACACACCCTCATAGTCACTTACTTTTAATTCTGTTATGATCGAGGTGGAGGTGCTGCAGGCGGGTGCTGATTCGGGGAACCTTTGTGAGTTGATTGTGAGACAGCTGAAGATCTAGAATCGATGATACATCAAAACCTCTTGAAGGGAGACCTGCATCTGATAATTTGTTGTGATTTAGTCTCAGGAAAGCCACTTTGGGAATCACATTGAAATAATTTTCTGGTATTTCTTCAATGGAATTGTTGTCTAGAAACAGTTGCATTGTATTAGCTGGTAATCTTGGTGGCATATTCCTCAGGGCATTCTTGGCCATATTTAGCTGCATGAGGTTCTTGAGACCCTTAAAGGTGTCTCTCTGAAAGGCATTGTCCAATAGTTTATTGTGCTGCAGGTCAAGAAGGGTCAGGTTCTCCAGATTGCTGAAAGTTCCTTGAGGAATTCGGGACACCTTGTTTCTAGCTAATTGCAATTGTTCTAAACTTCTTGGCAAAGGAGAAGGTACCTCCTCTAGCTCATTATCTTCCAGAAATAAGAAAAGTAGCTTTTTCAGTTGACTCAGAGCTCCTTTCTCAATTCCATAGTTAGTTATTTTATTCTTGTTTAGATTTATCCATCTGAGTTGGGTGGCATTCTCAAATGGCTTCTCAGGAATGGTCTCTATCAGGTTGTTTTCAAGATAAAGATACCAGATCCTTGAAGGAATAGCAGGGATTTCTTTGAGACCTCGATTTTCACAGTATAAAGCAGTAGGGAAACTCGGGGGACAGAAACATTCCCTAGGACAATCAAAGTCATTTTCATTGAAATCCTCTGGATCGTTTACCTCATAGACCTGTCTCACACTTCGAGTCCATACACTATCTGTTATAAATAACACCCACAGGATGAAACAGATTGTGGTTGCCATTATAGTACCTAGGATAAGGGATAAAACTGTGAGATGTTTGAAAATAGTGACCTCCAGATAACCATACACCAAAATGATCAGTTAACAACACTTTGGGGAATAGATAAACACGTCAACATTTCATACATAGATATCAGTGAACAAAATTTTATTTAGTAGGGGCTATATGCAAAGCACATTTTGCACACTGAAAATGACTCACCAACTTGTAGCTCTCTAGTTTCAAATTGAATTACAATGAAAACAGAAATGGAAAGTGAATTTTAGGAACTCTAAGTGCTTTTTCCATTTCCAGCTGTTTAATGCAAGGAAGTTAACCAAAACCCATAGCTGAATATGAGTAGCCAAAAGTGATCTTTTAATAACTCAAATTGAGAGTCTGTGTTGCTGCTAAGAAGTAAGCATATGCTTTTACTTTTCCTCCTAGATGAGAGGAACATCTGGATGAGATTTCCCAGGCTCTTTGGCCCCTAAACCAAAGAAATCGAGAGATCAAAGAACGTTTTAGCAGCTGTGGTAAAGGAAGGTTTTCCAGATCTGAAGAAAAGTGTTTGATTAATCTCTTGCTCTTCTGCTCAACTTCTTAGGTAAGTCTTATTTTGGGGTGCAGGGAAAGAATTCTAGTAGAAGTACAGAATAAAGTTGTTCAGCCAAGAAGTTTGAATTATGAACTCTGTATATTTCACAATGAGTTAAGTCATGTATTCAGCTATGGCTTTACTATGGTTGATAAACAACAAAACAAAGCAAAACATGTTTTGAATACAGGTAGAGTCCATATTTTCTGTAAGAAGGCAAACAAAACTAGGCTAACAACAAAACTAGGCTAACACTTACTAATTTATGATACTTCTAGAAGACATAAACCATCTCTAGTAGATAGCAACAATGTTATGAATACAATGAACTCTTCTAATAGGAAAAACTAATCTATACATATAACAGCAGATTTCATTCAACCAGTTAATAATAATGACAGAATAAATTTAACTGATTCCTTAGGAAAAGCAAAATATCACTTCATTTATGAAATGCTGATCTTTCAATTTTGCCACTGCATTCAGATCACTCACAAATGCAGAGCTGTTTCTGCAACTGTCAACGTTCTTACAACTTCAGAATTCTGCTCTGGTCATCTTCCAATAGAGACACATTAAAACAGTCCTTTGTTCAGAATAGGAATTTCCTTTAGTTATTGAGGCTGTCATCCTGCCTCTGATGAATCAGAACAATGAATTCTTTAAGAGTTTATAAAAATGCAAAATAGTTTACCTTACTGTCCAGGAATACACCGTTGAGTTCTGTATCTGGGTCTGTCGTTTGCTAAAAATCAGTTAAGGGAAAAAAAAAAAAAAAAAACCTTTAACTAAAATAACTTGCTTTTCTTTTATCCTTTCGAGTGTCTCATAAGAAAAAATAAATCCTACTCTGACCAGGAACACTTTTGATCTATGGCTTCCACTTTGACAGGGATTCAGGAGCCTGCTTGCTTACCTCAGTCCTCTTGGATCTTCTTCTTCCTTTGCTATTGGTCACTGCTCGTTCATGGTAATGGTTTGACCCAAGTTCCACTGCCAGGCTTTTATGAATCCTTCCTACTCTATATGCATCAGAGACTCCAACTTTAACCCCTCCAGTAACCACTGTACCTTGGTACCAGGCAGTCCAGCACAGAAAATTCTAATTTGAATCCCAAGAACCAATAGCAAAAATTCAGCACAATTTTCTCTGAATTCACATCTCTAAAGATGCTGCATTTTACTGATATGTAAGCTTCATCTACTAGCAGATTACTGAAGGCAGTTTTGATTTCACCTATAACACCAAGAGATTTTAAAGCATTTTCCCTAGATGCTCTTTTTAAAAAACTTAGATGCCAAGAGGTAAAGGTCAGTGTCTCTTGTTTGTATGGAAATTTGTTATTCTTCATATAAAATGGATGCTGGAATTATATTTAACTATAGTATGCTTGATGAAGGAAAAAATATATTTGAAAAACTTTAAATGAAAGCTGGTAAGCTATAGCTGATGCTGGCATGAAACATGGGATTATGCTTTATTTTATGGAAATACATTTTTGTACTGGGATCTTTAATCCAAGTAATTATTAAAATACTATTTTCTCATTAGAACATATGTTTTACATTTAGTCCTTTAAAGACTTTCCTACTGCTGCATGGCTACTTTCACTCCTTTAAAACACAAAGCCAAGATTATGTGTCCCTTCTAGTTCTCATATTTGAGGGGAAAAGTTATGCTTTTTGAGGAAAGACATAAAAGTAAAAATTTTATTTTTTCAACTATTAATTATAAACACTTAGTTTTTCAAAATTTCTCTATTCTGGGATCAGAAAGATTCATTTGTATGACTTATTCAGCATTGTTCACAAAATTATTATCAAGGACAGAAGACAATGAAGAAAAGAAAGCACTGTACTTCAAGAATCTTTTGTGAGCATTACCTCCTTCCTATCCTAAGGCAGGTCAATCAGAGCTCAGTTCTGCCATCTCTAAAGCAGTAGTGGACTACCTCACTGACCTGACTTCATCATAATGATTATGGAAATGTTAGTTTTTCTTAAGTATTAGACTTATACACTCAACTGGGAAATACATTTAAGTTTATGGACTTTCATAGATTAGATATGATTCAAACATGATCGCCTAGTCACTTTGAAGGCACACTCACATTTGAAGGGGATAAAAAAAAGTTACTGCCATACAACAATTATCTATCTCTACTACGTTTTTTTCCTTTTCCTTTTTTTTCTAAATCCTCAGGATATCAACAACAGATGATCTTCAAATCTGTACACCCCACTTCAGCTACTCCCTTGTCTAAATTTCCTGTTTGAGCCAAACTCTCATTTCTAAACTCTACATGTTCATTGTAGGAATATAGAAGAGCACACTGACATCCTCCAGTCTTTATTTCCTGTTCCCATTCCATTCATGACCCACCCACCAATATATGACTTCTAATCTCTGCACTTCCCTAAAGTATCTCTGATAAAAATCAACAGAGATCTTCATATTTATGAATCTATTGACGTCTTTTAGAGTTAGATTACTTCACGTGTGACCTTTGGTAATGTTGACCTTCCAATTTATTAGATGTGTCTCTAGCAACATTTGCTCCTAGTTCACCTTTAGTGACATCTATTTATATCCTGAAGCTGTTTCCACTATCATTTTTTAAAATATTTATTTATTTATGCATATAAGAACTGGGGTACAAGCCAGAGGTGCAGGGGGTGAGAGGATTCACCAGAGACAGAGTGGGGAACAGAACAGGCAGACTGACTGAAATATACCACTGAGGGAAGCAGTGGGCAAAGCAAGAGAGATCTGCTGCATCATGTGGGTAGCTCCCTGCCAGGCCGGGGGTCAAACTCTGTCTGCAGTCTGCAGATAGCTTTACAGTGCTGTGCTTAACCCCTTGTGCCACCAAGGAGACCCCTCTATAATTTTTTTGAAAAGTGTTTGTAGTGTTTAGCGATGTTATTCTGTGCCCCATGCACTTCTTGCTCTATATACATGCCCTATGCAATTTCAGTGTGTTAACTATACCAGCCCAGCCTCTAGAAGACCTGTACTCCATTACATATATATCCCTGCTTTCTAGTAAGCTCCGTCACATCTTTTGAAGGTGTATATCCCAAATAAAATTCCCTATACCCTTTTACTTCTAATTACTCTTGCCATTTTATACCTTTGAGTGATGCTCTCATCTTATTTGGTCTCCCGAATCAATCAGAAATCTGGAAATCATTCTTAATTCTTGCTTATCATTGTATGAACATATGATAACAGTCACATTTGAAAGACTTTAGTTGACATAAATAAAAATGACCATCTATAATGCGTGCCAGGTTTGAGATCATTGTTTCCAGACTGATACATAGGATGTTTCCCACTGTTAATATAATCTCTATCTGGATCTTTCTATTTCTAATACTAATTTATCTACCCTTCCCTGAATGCTCATTCTTGGAGGAAGAGTACTTAAATGGCTAATTGAAACTTCTTAAATGGAATTTCCATAAATCAAAAAGATGATGAAGATGTCTGAATCTTGCTGGCTGTTATAAGAATTAATGAAAGATGCTGGTCATTCTCATCTGACTTTACTTAAGAGGGAAAAATCTAGCCATAGGTATAAATGATGTGACTTAGATATTGTCTGTCTAATCATACATTTATATTTTACAAATCTGTGGGACTTTGGACAATAGTAGCTATTTAATAAATGAATCAATGAGTGAATAAACATATAGGCTATCACTTTGATAGCCATAGAATTTTTTATCAGCATAATTATGGAAATGGTAAGAGTGGAGAATCTTAGAAGTAAAAAAATATGTGTTCAAATTTTCCTTCTGTAACTTATTAGCTGGTTGGCCTTGCACAGTCTATTTAACCATCGAGAACCTACATCTACTCACAACACACCTGCCCTAACTACTACGAAGTTCAAGAACTTTCTGAAAGTCGAAATGGAGGTTATCTATGGGAAAATTTTATAATGAGAAAAGCTAAGGAGAACTTTTAATTAATCTTTTCAAACTCTTTCCTTTGACATATGAGGAAAGTGAGACCCAGAAATTCTTTCAGTAAAGAATGTGGTAGTGGGCATTCTGTTCTACCTGAAAGCACACTTTGTAAAACTTGAGATGGGGTTAAAGTATCGTGTTGTTTATGTTGTTTTAACTTTGTTTTCCTTCTTTTAACATTTTGTAATGTTTCCTATTTGTGCTTCTGCTTCTTCATATAAAAACGAGGATATTTTGCTAAACTGTCTTAGACTTATAAGCTTCCATTCCTGAAAATCACTAACATTTTAAAGATGAAGGCAATCCATGAGCATATAAAAGATATGAAACTATAGAAGCATCTACATTTGTTGGTCTAACATGTATTTTAGTAATGATCCCACTACTTGGGTAAGCTGTCAGAAACTATGTTTATGTACAGTGGATTGGACCTGGCTAAGATAATTTTATCTGACTAGAGCAATTTCAATCTTGTTTGATTAAACTCTGCCAAATAATTTAAATACATAAAAGAAGTCCATAATATACATAATTGGCAATATATATATATGCCTGTATAATTTAAAAGCATCAAAACACATTTAAATTATAGTGAGATACATTTAAGAAGACAAAACTACCGTAAAACTTCTGATAAGGAAAATTTCCAATCCTACCCTTTTCAGTGCATGTCTTATCCCCAAGAGGACGTTGTTTTTCAATTGTATTATGATTTCTTTCAGTATTTAATATTCTTGCTTATATACTTTTGTTTATCATCAGCTTAAAGCATCTGCTATTTTCTTATTAGGTAAGGATTTAACACCCTTGTTTAGTCTCACTCCTCATTCAACCGACAACTTATCCCTTCAATAACTTCTAATTTATGCATATCACATCTTTTAGTTAAATATTTATGACTACACTGTTATGTAATGCAAATATTGTTTATGTAAACAATAAACAGTGACTAGAAATAACAGATACTTCCTAAGATGTGAAGAAACCTCAGCCATTTACTAGAGGGGAGACCTTGAACAGATAATTATCTTTGCCTTAGTCTCCTCATCTGTATATTAAAGATAATGATGACAGTAATAATACCCACACACAGAGTTAGGATTAAAATAAAGTTAATATTTTTAAAGCATTTAGATATTAGGTTCACTTTGTTTTCTCCTGGGAGGTACTTTCCCAGGAATTCTGCATCCTCTTGCTGCAATCTAGTTTGCCTGCTATTACAATGAAAGCACATTTGGTGCATATAATTATATGCACTTCATGGCACATTTCAATTGTCACAATTAATAAGGGTGATAGAAATCCCCCCCTTACAATCTATGCAGAGGTGTTATGTTTGATGAGAGTAAGTGCAGCTCAAATATATCTTACATAACTGACATTTATTTGCAAGAGATTTGAAAAATTCATGAAATGAGTTTTTAATGTATGATTTCTTGAAACATTAACTAAGCTTATGGAGAGTATATATTACAAACAACACAAAAATCACATTGTGCTTAAACACTCTTTTAAAGGATATTTATGGAGATTACAACTGTTGCTTTCTGGGCCTGTGGGACTAGACCTTCTTTACCCTTCTCCTGGGTTAGATCCCTCATTACTTCTTGTATCTTGAGTGTTTTGTTCTTTCTGGTTAACTGCAGTGTTGATGGAGCAAACCTCTGATCACTTCTATGCACTGGTGACTTGTCCAGTTTTGATGAGAAGTCACATGTTTATAAATGTGTTTATTTAAATTACCTACTTAAGTACTATTTTAACTGAATAGTTTTCTAAGTTGAAGTAATAGTCCTTCCAAATTGTGAAGATACTTTAAAAAAAAAAAACCTGTTGTTTCTCAAGTTGAAACAGAAAAGATTGATGAAATTCTGATTTTTCAGTTTTCTTTCTCTTGAAAACATCTGAGGGGTTTCTCTTGATCTTCAGTTTCTGAAATTTTACAATATGCTGTTTTTTTTTAAAATCATTTCTATTTTTTTTTAAAAACTTTTTTTTTAGATTTATTTATTCATTTATACATGCACTG